AAGCGACCTTAGTGTTAAGGATATTGTAGATCTGTTTAAAGTGCGGGAGTTATACGTTATACAGTGTATATGGGAGTCAGAATACACTTTATGTCACCACTGGGGCTACAGGGTGAACAGCACCCGTTGAGATCCGGGTTAGAATTCGTCTTGCAGCAAACCCAAGCTTGCCGTAAGAGGCGACTAACGGGACCAGGTTTTCAGATGGCCCGCTGACTTGGTTGATGCATGTCATCGCATCCCATTTGCGTAGATTGATGCTCATAATCACTTGCTTGTCTGCATGGTCCAGACACGATTATTTACAGACCGCCGTCATTTAGCTGGAATATTGCATACAATAAACATATATTTTTAGAAACCATATACATATCTCCACCTTAACACTTGCCTACAGACCCGTGAAGATCCGGGGTAGAATAGGCCTTCAGCAACCCATGCTTGCTGTAAAAGGCGACTATACTTGTCGTAAGAGGTGACTAACGGGATCAGGTGGTCAGGCTTGCTGATTTGGTTGATGCATGTCATCGATCCCAATTGTGTGGATTGATGCTCATGATATTAATCACTGAATTGTCTGGCCCAGACTCGATTATTTACAGACCGCCGTCATATAGCTGGAATATTGTTGAGAGCGCCTTTAAACAATAAACCAACCAATCAACTTGCCTACATAATTTGTGCACAGTTCATCGAAACTGGACGAAATGAAAAGCAACAATTGGTAATGGATTTGGAGTGCAAGATTGCGACCCTGTAGAAACCCATACCATTTTACGTTTTCGAACTGGAACAATGTTTTAACTGTTTTCAAATATAAAGAAGGTGATCTGATATTGTTTCTCAGTGAAAGTTTAAGATTCGTTGTTCCATGAAGATAATAAAGACATGACTGAAATACAAAATCAATGTTCCAAATGCCGATTACTAAGTCTGTATCCAGATCTCCGTTTTTCACTTCATTGTAAATAAAGGTGGTATTTGTATTTTGTATTTGATTACCGATACGCTGAATAATTAAAATAAAAATATGAGAAGCTACGTGGTTTTTATTCCCGCCGAGAGGTGTCACGCAAAGTATAATTAAATTTGCATAAATAAATGTTTGGTTCAGGGGCAGTGCTTTAATAGTTGTAAAGCTATTCTCGTATTTTTGTTCTCTTACTCTTCTGATTATACTATTCAGTGACCAATTAATAATATATTGTTTTTGCAATATTATTTTTGTGAACTATATACCAGTAAACCAAGTAATAAAAGATAAATAATAATTATTTGAAAAAAAAGCAATAAAAGACAAGCACTGAAAAAAGGCCTGACGTTGGTTGTTTATTTGCTGGCTAGTGAAGGTGTTTAGCATGTGTTTTGTAAAACGACTGGTCCTTCTACCTCCTTTCTTTTAGAATAAAGTCAACAATTTGTGTGTTTTTCCCCCTGTTTATAAGCAAAAACAGGAAAGATTTCCGCCCGTAAACCCTGTTTCGAATTTTGCCTGCACTGGTTAGGGCACCCTAACCCTTTCCCTTACCCTAAACTGCATACATGTACATGCTTCGTTAATACTTCTAGTCAGGGGTTATGATTTTTATTATATTTACGAGGCAGGGGTGACAGGCGAGAGTTTTACCAACCAATATAAATTCCAGTTAATCATCACAACTATGTCCTGATTACGAACCTCTGAACAAATAGAAACATAATTGTAAACATGTATCAAGTGTAATTCACACATTGTAAATCAATACACTGTAATTGGCCTATATTTGCACGTTTATATGAGTGAGTGAGTTGTGTTTAACGTCGCTTTTAACAGTATTCCAGTCATATCACGGCGTGTCAGCTTAATGTGGGAGGAAAGCCCGAAGTGATGCAGGTCTACAAATCCTGTGAAACCCACGAGCACGGGTATGGTGCTGACAAACCTAGAAACATAATCGGGGCTAACCGGGATTCGAACCCACAATCATAGGTGTCTGGCGTGCCCAAGGGATGCAACTCTGCACAGCGAATTGCGGCGCCTAAGAAGACTGGGCCACCCTACGACGCAAGTTTATATGAGAACGTGATCTGCATGTATACCGCATACCTCTGTACCTGACAAAATAATAAAAATATGTTGTATTAAACAAACAACTTAAAAGCGTGTATTCGAAATTATACACCTGGGCTTCAAAAGATTACGAAATTGACAAAGCGAGATTTTTTGTAAAGGGGAGAAACAACTCAACGCCCGACCAGGACATGCAGCTCCTGCACTACATTCGAACGACGGGTTTTCGTTTATGACATTCATCGTTCAAAACTGACATTTTTCCTAAGATCTAAAATCAGTATTTAGGCTAGATACGATCGATTACAGTTCTTAATTTAAACCCCGCATAGCTCCTGTCTTTCACCAGCCATTAGCTGTTGTTAGTTAAACTTCGCTTGTCAATGACGTAACTCATCTTTTTAATCATTGAATATTGAACAACTTGGCGAAAAACGTGCAACGGAATTCCACCCCGAAACTCATAACGAAGGCAAACGAATATAGACTTCTGACATGGCGAAATGAAAGAAATATATTTTATACAAACATCAAGTCTAATAGTTAATCCGTTTATAGATGGTGGTATATGTGTGTATCTAGTATGCGTGTGATAGGTAGCAATTCATTGAAAGAAACGAACATGCAGATCAATATGTGCAAGTACTATTTGGGTGATTGATAAATGTGCACGAGTAGGTCCTAAATGATTTGTATACCTGGCTCGAAACATGCATTTCATAACCTGAGATGCCAAAGAGAGAGGTGCACTTGCAAAAGGCTCGGGGAATTAGGGAATACATTTCCAGTGCATCACGCAGGGGTGACCCCCACAGTGTTCTCACAGTTAAGCACAGAGTTTCTGAAAACATATTTTTGAAAACGGTTATGAAAACAATGAATTTAGGTTGTCAGGTTCTTTTCATGTAGGTCATAGTTTAAATAGGTTAGAACACTCCACTCCGTGTAATCGTTGAAATGGTCAGTTCACAGAGGACAATTTAAACAGACCAATGAGTGAATGAGTGAGTTGTGTTTAACGCAGCTTTGAGCAGTATGCCAAGTTATATCATGCACGACGTGTCAGCTAAACGTGGAGAAAATCCCTAAGTGATGTAGGCCTTAGACGCTTACCACTCCGGTGAAACCCGCAAGCACGGGTGTAGTGCTGACAAACCTACAGCTACACAATCGGGGCGAACCGGTATTCGAACCCACAGTCATATATTTCTAGCGTGCCCAAGGGACGCAACTCTACATAGCTTATTGCGGCGCCTAAGACGACTGTTCCACCCGGGCTCCTCTTCAGTCTGTGGTAGTGGATAATAGGATTATGTCATCTACCGTGTGTGGAATTGGATAATAGGATTATGACATCTACGGTCTGTGGTATTGGATAATAGGATTATGTCATCTACTGTCTGTGGTATTGGATAATAGGATTATGTCATCTACCGTCTGTGGAATTGGATAATAGGATTATGTCATCTTCAGTCTGTGGTATTGGATAATAGGATTATGTCTTCTACCGTGTGTGGAATTGGATAATAGGATTATGTCATCTACCGTGTGTGGAATTGGATAATAGGATTATGACATCTACGGTCTGTGGTAGTGGATAATAGGATTATGTCATCTTCAGTCTGTGGTAATGGATAATAGGATTATGTCATCTACCGTGTGTGGAATTGGATAATAGGATTATGTCATCTACCGTCTGTGGAATTGGATAATAGGATTATGACATCTACGGTCTGTGGTAGTGGATAATAGGATTATGTCATCTACCGTGTGTGGAATTGGATAATAGGATTATGTCATCTTCAGTCTGTGGTATTGGATAATAGGATTATGTCATCTACCGTGTGTGGAATTGGATAATAGGATTATGTCATCTACCGTGTGTGGAATTGGATAATAGGATTATGACATCTACGGTCTGTGGTAGTGGATAATAGGATTATGTCATCTTCAGTCTGTGGTAATGGATAATAGGATTATGTCATCTACCGTGTGTGGAATTGGATAATAGGATTATGTCATCTACCGTGTGTGGAATTGGATAATAGGATTATGACATCTACGGTCTGTGGTAGTGGATAATATGATTATGTCATCTTCAGTCTGTGGTATTGGATAATAGGATTATGTCATCTACCGTCTGTGGTATTGGATAATAGGATTGTGTCATCTTCCGTCTGTGGTAATGGTTAATATTAGGTTGTGCATCTTCAGTCTGTGGTATTGGATAATAGGACTGTATCATCTTCAGTCTGTGGTATTGGACATTATGAATGTGTCATCTGTGGTATTGGATAGTATGATTGTGTCGTCTGTCGTCTGTGGTATCGGATAAATGACTGCGCCGCCAGTCAGTAATTGACTGATTAGATTTAGAGGCAGAACGCTAGTTCCAGTTTCATTTCACTCTGAATTATGTAATGAACAAATCTGGCATTGGCCGCTGTCTTACCTTTTGTAATTTACTTCAATCATATTAAATTAAATTAAATGTTGACATTCCATTGTTTAGATTAATTGTAAATATTTCATATATTTCAACGTTTTTGTCACCCGTTTACTATATCTTAACGGGAGGTATGGGCTTCTGTCGAAGGAGTTGATTTTGTTCGATTTTAGTTGAGAAAACATTAAAGAGTTGACTTCCCTCTTTATTTCGAAGACGTGTAATTTTCGAAAGTCTTATCATCACCAGAGAGCTTTAAAATAGAATGTATTAATAGTTCAGAATACACCGACAAAATCGAGGATCAGTAAAGGGAGTGGTTGTGTGTCGTCACGCCCTGTCGGCGTTGATCCAACAACTGCATGACGCCTTGCTCGGATCCGATTAATTTGAGGCTGTCGTAATATTCCTACAATACTTTAACTGGGACACTGGGACACACCATTGTCATGGGTCACTCATGCAGAATAATACCTTTCTCGGGTGGTAGCACCCTACCTGTACACACAATGTTTTTCTAAGTTAAATTGCGCAAAGTAATAACCACGCTGGCTGTTCAAAGAAATCTTGATCAAATAAGACATAGCTTGGGAAAAATGTATTCTGAATGATATCTTTTGACGAAAAGGTGTACTATTTATAGACCACTCGGTGCTCCTTCTAAAGTTGTCTTTCAAAGCGTAACGTCCCCTCTCAGTTTGAAAGATCTCCTTACTGAAAGCCTGTTTGTATTGGCTGGATTGACATGCCATTGGATATAATGCGAACCGAGGAAATTGTAAGGGACAGCATACATGATACATAAAGGTAATACAGGTAATACATTAAGCGGCAAGCAGATTCGGTCGACTGTTGCAGTGGCGGACTATGTGTGCCGACATTCCTGAGAGAGTAATGTTGTCGTACTTGTTATTGATTGTGCCACGATATGCACGAGCAGCTGCAACGACTAGCAACGAATCTGTGTAGTTGTCCCGTGAGGTGAATCATTGATTCAACGCTGTTTAAAACATTGATGCAACTTTGGAGGAAAGTTCTTAGTGAAGTATATCATAGATGTTTACCCATTGCGTGAGTCTGATGTTGGGGTGACGTGGATCGTGATGTGTGTAGACTTGGATCCAACAGAGCGTCAGCGCAGACGGACAACTAAGGAAAATAACTTACAACTTTCAGAATGCCAAAGGGACGAGCTGCATTGACTTGACTTATCCATGGAAAAAGGTGAACGCTTAGCTTGTGGTTTATGATGTTTATTACAGACCTAACCAGTTGGTAAATGTCTTCAAGGAAGTGACAATGGCGTCTCGGATCGCCAAGGGCGTGTTCATGCTCGTTGTAATGAATATGGTGATGGTTATTATCTATATTAACCTATTGGGGTCTGACGTCACTCGGGGGTTGGTAAAGAGCATACCTAGTCTTACTAAGAGGACAAAAGAAGAAAGACAAACAGTCCCCCTTGTTGAAAGAGCACCAGATCCAGCATTATGTCCCGGTATCACACGACCCATGGATGTCCCGGACGCCCAGATATGGCAACAAGTGGGTCTCGGTGACAACGTCTACGTTTTCTCAGCATTCTACGACGACGTTGGAACGTCTGCTATCGTTCGGCTTGTCGGCCTGGCTGTCTGGAACAGTGTCCCCCTCATGTGCCAGCTGTGGTTCAAAGTCACAAAGGAAGTACAACTTACGGAAATCCAGGCACGTGTGGACATGCTAAAGGAGAGTCATGACAGAAGGTAAGTATTGTCTGCCTCCCTGGGAGCTACGGGTGGGTTAGTAGTACAATGTCTCACATCTTCCTACGGCGACTCCCCCGTGAAGATCCGGGGTAGAATAGGTATTCAGCAACCTATGCTTGCCGTAAAAGGCGACTATACTTGTAAAAGGTGACTAACGGGATCGGGTGGTCAGGCTCGCTGACTTGGTTTATGCATGTCATCGATCCCAATTGCGTGGATCGATGCTCATGATATTAATCACTGGATTGTCTGGTCCAGATTCGATTATTTACAGACCGCCGTCATATAGCTGGAATATTGCTGAGTGCGGCGTTAAACAAAACACCAACCAACCAAACAACCCTTCGGCGACTAGTTTCTTTGCCTTTGTGAGTGAGTGAGTGAGTGAATGAGTTTGGGTACGTTAAACATTATTCCAGCCATATCCAGGCGGGGGACACCAAGAAATTCTTCACGCACTATACTCATTTTATTTCGGTTTAACCACTACTTTCCGCCATCGACCCATACATCTGTGATGAATTTGCTCGCAACATATTGACATAAGTTCGTCAACACAACAAGAAGGTGTCACCCATCGTCAATACTTCACTGATTTGGATTCACTACGTTCATACAACACTCAAACGTACATATATCGCTTTGCAAACTGTAGACGCTATATGTAGCGAAGGTTCCAGCGATCCCCGAAGGGTTGACTGTCTATCTTTCTTCTATCTGCCTAAACGACGTACCCGTGAAGACCCGGTTAGAATTGGTCTTCAGCAACCCATGCTTGTCGTAAGAGGCGACTAACAGGATCGGATTGTCAGGCTCGCTGACTTGGTTGATGCATGCCATCGTATCCCAATTTGCTTGGATAGATGCTCATAATATCAATCACTGGATTGTCTGGCTTCAGATTCGATTATTTACAGACCGCCGTCATATAGCTGGAATATTGCTGAGTGCGGCGTTAAACAACAAACATACAAACAAACAAACATACCTAAACTAAGCTTGCGGCGCGTACCAACAGTGGATTCAAGGGGCAAATCGGTTCTACTCCTCCGACTTCGATGTAGAGTTTTGCATAATGACCCATAGAGCTGCGCCAGGTTTATTTGTAATGCACGTTCTGAATGGACCTGTGAATTTCTGTTTAGAATCAACTGCAACAACAATTGGGTCCAAAAGTGGCTCCCACAGGAGATATCGCTTGGATGAGATCAAGCGATATCTACACTGTAGTTATCGCTGCAATGAAATTGCATCACAATGCTTTGCAGACAATTTTGACGTCATTGTTACCATTACGTCACAATCAAATGACATCACTAATGGATCTGCTACTGAAGCTGTTAGCAGTACATTTTACACTAAAGACACTGCTAATTTCTGTCTACAAACTGAAAAAAGTTGGAAGAATGATGTTGGGCGATAAATAGATTATCACCCTTGTGTCTTTTGATATCAAATATATCAACACCGGTCATCTGTATCCACTGTTGATGGAGTGAGTGAGTGAGTGAGTATGGTTTTGCGCCGCTTTTAGCAATATTCCAGCAATATCACGGCGAACCCGGGTCTTCGGCGTGACGAGCGAACGCTTTAACCACTAGGCTACCCGACCGCCCCCACTGTTGATGGAGGAACGTAGTGTATATAAACCCGTGATGTATTGACAATGGGTGTCTCCCCAAAACGTTTATTCATCTAGCATCATGATTAGCTTGACAACACTTTCTAAGCAGCAGAGACTCTTCTCACAAAGAAACTTTCCCGATAAGCCCCGAGGTGCACGTCACAGAAGCGGATGAGCAAATATATTTTACTGCTTTCAACAACATTACAGCAATATCACGTCGGGGACATAGAGATAGAGCTGAATACATAATACACGTAATACCATTTGTGCAGAATATGTTCCCAGCATTACATTCTTGTTACAAGAGACGACTGAAAGGGGATCGTGTGTTTACAATGTGTTACATATGACTTGGGGGGCTTATTGCCGACTGAAACATTTTCTACTGCAGTCACATTAATGTTTTTTTTTTAAAAGAAAACCTCAGATTGTTTCATTTTTTCCAGGTACCGAGCCGTGTACATTAAGTGTGACTTACCAAAAAAGAGACGCCCATACGCTGTTTCAATCGTAACGAAGTCATGCGAAAAACCACTTCATTTTTTACCGGTGCTGTATTCTGAGAAGACTTCAATAGACTTTACAGTGTGCGTGACACCACTCAATTTCAAATATAGCCGAGCCTACGAACTAGTGGAAATGGTAGAATTCAATAAATTAATGGGTGCCCGAAAGCTAATGTTTTATAATCACAGCACGGGCAACAATGTAGATGCTGTCCTGAAGCACTATGTTGCGGAAGGATCTGTAAAAGTAGTGCAGTGGCATCTTCCAATGAAGGTAGACACTTGGCCCCCAAGCAAAGAGGTGGAAGTGCACTACTTTGCACAAATTGCAGCTTTGAATGATTGTTTATATAGACATTTGCACAGCTCGAAATACATTGTGTTCACGGATCTAGATGAATTTATAATTCCAAAAGTAGGCCAGAACTGGTCATCTTTGGTTCAGAAAAGGTTATCAGTGAAACCCAACAGTGGTGCTTTCGTTATAAAATGTAACTTCTTCAGGAAAGAATGGCCTAAATATTCGGAGAATTTTACCGGTAGGAGTGACGCTTTGAAATATAAATCCATCATATTATTGAACGTGTTGAGAGAGAGCACGGCTTATGAACACTTCACACGTTCAAAGTATATCATCCTGCCTCTCCGGGTGGAGACTGTCGGTGTGCACAAGATCTGGACGTACCGCCCGGGCTACTCAACGGACAAAGTGGCGAAAACCGATGCCCTTCTTCACCATTACAGGGACTTTGAAGCGCCTAATGATAAGAAGAAGAGGATCAGCGATAAGTACGCCCACCGTTTCAAGGACAAGCTACTGGTACAGCTCAGATCTACCTGGGCTAAACTTCCCATGGTGCCTTTGAACATCCCTTTGTCAAACTACAGCATGCCCGTGTAGGCAATGAGCATTCGTGACCAACTCGTGTTATTCCGGGACAAGCCGAATAGCGCGGAAATGGGCGAGTGGTGACGAATGGGCAATGAGAAGATTGGGCTTTCGGATGTGTGCATTCCTTTATGGGTGTCTATATGTAGCGCAATATTGTGATCATGTAAAAATCAGTCTATAAAGTACCACATTTACGTTCGCCTATATTTATTCCTGTTTTTCAGAAGACATAGAATGGTGTGTTTGTGTTTGTATATATATACTGATGGAAATGAATAAGGGAACAGTTAGTTTTAAACTCAGTAAAGTGATATTCTATCATGGATTCCTAACCTTGTCTACCAAATACGCATTGGAAATAATGCACACAAACACATCTCAACATTTGATTCTGATGTGTTGAATTTGCATGCGCGCTATTTTCAAATGTACTGACAGTAATTCCCCATATTTTTCATTGGCCATTGTTCGTTTTATCAGGGTATGGTTTCACAAACGGAAACATGGTTTACATGGTTTATTTTGTTTTCATGATCTCTTGAAAATCGTCAACATTGAAGAATTTGTTTTCAGTACATGTATCTTATTTACAGTTAGTAACCGGATTGTCAACTCACAGCAAGCTGCAGGCCGTGATATTACTCAAGTATTATTCAAGCGACGTCAGTATACACTCGCTCGCTCAATACAGTGAGTTCACCTATTCACCAACATGACGTTAAAGAGATAATTTAGAGGTAGCTATCTCATCAGTTGACATGTCTTATAAAGTTTGATGAAAAAAATACGTTTTAATGCAAAATGAGTGAGTGGCGGTACCGATGTGCTTATGATGGGGCAAGACGTACTTACTCTTGTGTCAGGGGGCACGGGTGGCCCAGTCGTCTAAGGCGCCGCGATTCGCTGTGCAGAGTTGCGTCCCTTGGGCACGCCAGAAACCTATGATTGTGGGTTCGAATCCCGGTTCGCCCCGATTATGTTTCTAGGTTTGTCAGCACCATACCCGTGCTCGTGGGTTTCACCGAAGTGGTAAACGTCTGAGACCTGCATCACTTCGGGCTTTCCTCCCACATTAAGCTGACACGCCGGGATATAACTGGAATACTGTTAAAAGCGGCGTTAAACCCAACTCACTCACTCACTCACTACTCTTGTGTCACTGATTTTTAGTGATCCATTTATACGATATTCACTGCTATTTTGCCTTTAGCATAATCCGGTTTAACCACTACTTTCCGCCATCGACTCATACATCTGTGATGAAAGTGCAAGCAGCATATTGACATAAGTTCGTCAACACAACAAGAAGGTGTCACCCATCGTCAATACTTCACTGATTTGGATTCACTACGTTCATACAACACTCAAACGTACATATATCGCTTTGCAAACTGTAGACGCTATATGTAGCGAAGGTTCCAGCGATCCCCGAAGGGTTGACTGTCTATCTTTCTCCTGTCTACCCAAACGACGTACCCGTGAAGACCCGGTTAGAATTGGTCTTCAGCAACCCCTGCTTGTCGTAAGAGGCGATTAACATGATCGGGTGGTCAGGCTCCCTGACTTTGTTAGTTTATGTCATCCTATCCCAAGATGCTCATAATACCAGTCACTGGATTGTCTGGTTCAGACTCGATCATTACAGACCGCCGTCATATAGCTGGAATATTGCTTAGTGCGGCGTTAAACAACAAACATATAAACAAAACATTATAAATATGCTTCAATCATTGCTACCCAGACTTGCTTTAGCAATACGCATGTGAAAGTTTTTTTGTTTTTTTTTTAAAAAATTCTGTTGGTATATTATTAATCTATGTACCTTTAAAGCCTCCAGTGTAAATAAATAAATAATCCTTCTGCTATAGCAATGGATGTTAAAGTTTACGTCTGTTGACTGTAGGTATATTGTACACACCACCGGTTTCAGTAGTATATATGTAATATAGTTATCGGGCTGTACTAGTTTACTGTTAGAATCCCATGGAGCGCCTTTTTTTTTATATACTTTAATAAGTCCAAGTAACCAGGTATCTGGGATTATTCCATAAGTGGAAATATGGTTTAAAACATCGGTATATTATGTTACTAATAAGTCGAATGTAACAACGATGTGATCATTATCAATGTAGTGTGACCGGGTATTTTAGGTAAGTAACATCCCACTTTAAAATTTCTCAGTCATACCTATCACCTACATTTACAGTATCGTGTGTTTCATATTCGTTAACTTATGGTAAATAAATAAATAAATAAATAAATAAATAAATAAATGATATTTTTTCGAAATGTTTTATGTAATTGAGCTCTCGAGGGGCAGTGGGGTAGCCTAGTGGTTAAAGCGTTCGCTCGTCACGCCGAAGACCCAGGTTCGATTCCCGACATGGGTACAATGTGTGAAGCCCATTTCTGGTGTCCCCCGCCGTGATATTGCTGGAATATTGCTAAAAGCGGCGTAAAACCATTCCCACTCACTCATTCACTAACTGTATTAACGAATATACTTATCCACACTTGATTTATACATTTTTCTTCTTTACTCGTCAATAATATATTCGAAATTTGGCACGGCCTTTTGCGTTATACAAATCTCCTGCGAAGTTCTCTACATTATCCCAAACCAAGGTTTGTCTTTCCTGAGAGGAGCTCAGGGTTTGTTGACAGTTTTTTTGTGTTCCAAAAGCACGTGAGACGCCGGCATGCGCGTGCGCGATATCATCACGGATACTTACTGTCGTGGTTTCACCCTGACGTGAGCGCGCATTGTGGATTAAACTCTTGAGTATGTTCACCTGTTTTGGTTGGGTTGGGTCATATAATTTAGGCCTGACATTTTCATCTTTATTTTGTTACTTTAGGAGGTTGAGTTTTCCCTGTGACTGATGCTTAATCTGCTAATTTAACTGAAAATGAAACAGGACAGTGCACGTCTGACACTACAGTTCGTTTGACTCCAAATGAGAACGATGAATTGCAAAATAACTCGAGATCCAGAAAAGTGTATGAAACATCAATACGGTACTTGACCATGAATACCCTGTACCCAACAAAATCTGAATTTTGTTTATTTTCAGACCCATGACGGATGAAGTTCTTTCAGAAACTATCATGTAATTTTGTATAGAAATGTGTACATGACACGTAGGGGGAAAAACCGTGGAAGGAACAGCGCAAGCACGGTCTGAACGTGCTACACAGTGACCGTGTTCATTCAATGACAAGATGCGCTTCTCAGCAGATGTTAAACAGTTGATGTTGAATGTGTATGATTTCTTTAGAAGTGAAGCAGAAAGAGCAAAGCCTTTTTATGCAATTAATAAATTCTTGAAACGAGCTTCAAAAGCTGAAGTTCTTTAAGAAACTATCATGTAATTTTGTATAGAAATGTGTACATGACACGTAGGGGGGACAAACCGTGGAAGGCACAGCGAAGCACGCATGCACTGCACGTTCTCTTGTAGGGGAAATGACAGAGCGTTAGAGGGGCCGTCTCATGATAATTTCATGACTGGGTGAGTGCGGATAGAGAGAGAGAGAGAGAGAGAGAGAGAGTGAGTGAGTGAGTGTTTACGAAATATTTGTCCAAGAAAATGCTTGAAATCAATAAGTTTGTTGTTGAAAATATAATAATTGTCTGGCACAAACATATACACTGCTGCAAGATGTATTAAAAATATTATATTTAGACTCAGTTTTATATGTCTGGTTTGGAGCTGTAGCTGAAGAAATACCCAGTCTCCATACAAAATCCCTGGTAAATATCATATTACACATACGGCGATATTTCTCGTGCTACTGTCTTACGGCCGTCTACTCTAAGGGACACTGTAGCGCTGGCTCAAAATCCATGCACGGTATAGGGGCGGTCGGGTAGCCTAGTGGTTAAAGCGTTCGCTCGTCACGCCATAGACCCGGGTTCGATTCCCGACATGGGTACAATGTGTGAAGCCCATTTCTGGTGTCCCCCGCCGTGATATTGCTGGAATATTGCTAAAAGCGGCGTAAAACCATACTCACTCACTCATGCACGGTATATGGCTGCTTTGACTTCCTAGAGAAATAAACTCATTTTATTAGCTGACCATACACATCACTACCCCGCAAAGCGGTCGTATGTATTTACGGGTGACGGGGACGGTAATGTATACAAACCCGTCTTGTCGAAGGTAGCCATCGACCATGGAGTGTGACCGGGGTCCGTGAATATCCTCTGCCCTCACCCCTCGTCTCCCGTGACTGCTACCCCGTAACTCCGACCGTGTCAGAAGTAATTTCACAGACATCTTCCCGAGACGTTTTTCAAAGTCTTGTTTCCACATCAAGCCCTCTTTCCGGTGCTAAATATGATCGGACTATAGCACATATCAATAGTCCAATCTGAGAACGTTCACAAAATCAACACCTACGACTGGTTCACCTTCGTAACATCTTTTAAACCCCCCAAAGATTGCCTTTGTTTTTGTGTCATGGATGAAATCGCGAATGTTTTCGTTGTCTAATCGACTTGGCCGTCGCCTATGGTAGTCGCCATATTTGTGAAGCTCAATCAATCAATATTTCTTACAGAAATACTGAAAAGCCATAGACCTATCACCGCAAACACGAAAACGTCGTTTTTTTCCGTATATGGTCATTGGACGGAAACACGACTAAAAATTCATTAAAATTGATTAATGGGTTAGCGTCTAGAGAGTGTCCGGAAAAGCGTCGAGTTTTTCAAGCATAAAATGGACTAAAAACGATGCTTTTTGCTCCGCTTTGTACAACTGTCAACGGCCAATCAGATGGCGCTGGTCCCCCGACGCACGTGATGCCCAAGGCTTCCTTTCGGAAGCATTAGGTTTCGTATTTCTGGCATGCCTTGCTCTAGTATCTGTCGCGCGCAGCGAGATTTGCTGATTAGTCATTTTTAGGATACCTCTATCGGATAATGGGTTTGTTTTTCATTTGGTTATAACAGTAACTAATTTTGTAATGTGTAGTTTACACGATATACGGCTTTTCCATAGGACGAGAGGTGGGTCACATGACGTTTTTCACGTGACTGTATTCTTGAAATTACGTAAGCACTGACTACTTCCACATTCCTGTGGAACACCCTGGGAATTCCCAAGTACGAATTCATACAGAAGCGTTGTTTCTCATCATTTAGACCCTTTAATTTTGAACCTAGCAAAGTCATAGAGTTTGGTTGCATGC